AAAACCATCCTAAAGCTTGAAAAAAAAAAAAACGAGACCACCAGTAGTCGTGGGAAAACTTGGCGCCTTCTTTGGGCAGTTAACTAATGTAGACCCTGTATTAATCAACCCCAGCTTATTAATAGGGGGTATTCCTGGGTTTAGTGGGGAATCATCACTTTTGGAGGGGAACACCCCCATATCAGGGTTGATTAATATGGGGTCAACATTATAAGGGAATGGAGCGCCAAGGCTCTGCACAGCTGACTCCAGCAGGAAGCGCGCTTGCTTCCGCAGGCTGCCACAGTCTTTTTGCCCCAGACGCAGGGCATCCGAAATCAGCCGCACGCCCACCGTGTTGTGATCTCCTACGGCAAATGCCACGGAACCCAAGCACACAAGAGGCTTAGAAGGCGTTTAAGAACAAAGTGTCACCGGCGTCACGAAGCGCAAGACTCACAGGTGTCACAGGAAAATGACAAAGCACCTCACAAAGGAACAGGAACAAAAGCAACAAAAGTAACACGATCAACAAGCGAGCACGGAGAACAAAGACAGAACGAAAGAAACAAACACAAGAAAACAAGAAAGAAAAGAGCGGGAGTAAGAAATAAGAAAACAAACAAACAAACACACTAGCCGAATAAGGAATTTTGCTTTGTTGTGTTCTTTTGTGATGTGCTAGTATTTAGTTGTTAGCTCGTGTCTTCTTTTGTTCTTTGTTTTGTGTTTATTCGTCCGTCCATCTGCCTGTCTATCTCGTTGTGTCTTTGTCTCTTGATATCGTTGTCTCCTTGTCTGTTGTTTTACCTTGAGATTTATGTTGTGTGTGTGTGCGTGCGTCTTTCCTTTGCTTATCCGTTCGCTTCTTTGTATCGTGTCGTTCTTTTCTTTTTGGTCCGTCCATAAGTTGGATTTCAACAATTTTGTGTTTGCTTTTTCTCTTATGTGGTTCGTTCATTATGTGTGTCGTTGTGTAGTTGCTCTCTTACTAACAAACAACCAACAAACTAACAAACTAACAACAAACTAACCAACATACAAACACACAAGAACACCAGGCAAATAAACAAAAACACAAACCACTACACAATAAACACAAACGGGCGATCGAACAAACGGACGGACGGACACACGAATTCAAACAAGCAAACGAAAAAGAAACAAACAACAAACTAATCACAAGCAAGCAAACACGCAAGCAAACAAACAAACAAACAAACAAACAAACAAACAAACACACACACAAGCACACAAACAAACAAACAAACAAACAAACAAACAAACAAACAAACAAACAAACAAACAAACAAACAAACACACACAAGCACACAAACAAACAAACAAACAAACAAACAAACAAACAAACAAACAAACAAAACAATCACACAAGCAAACCAACAAACAAACAAACACACAACAAACTAATTAACAAACAACCAACAAACTAACAAACTACCAACAAACTAACAAACTAACAACAAACTAACCAACATACAAACACACAAGAACATCAGGCAAATAAACAAAAACACAAACTACTACACAATAAACACAAACGGGCGATCGAACAAACGGACGGACGGAGACACGAACTCAAACAAGCAAACGAAAAAGAAACAAACAACAAACTAATCACAAGCAAGCAAACACGCAAACAAACAAACAAACAAACAAACAAACACACACACACACACACAAGCACACAAACAAACAAACAAACAAACAAACAAACAAACAAACAAACAAACAAACAAACAAACAAACAAACAAACAAACAAACAAACAAAACAATCACACAAGCAAACCAACCAAACCAACCCACCAAAGAAACAAACACTGGAAAAAACAAACAGCGGTTCTATGCTGGACACATGCAGCTGTCGAATCAAACGTAATTTTAAAGGCGTCTACCCAGGCAAGCAGGTTGAGAATGGTTGCACCCGTAGGAGACAGGTCAAGTCATAGCCAGCTTAGTCATAGCAGAGGGATTGATCCCATTTGGCGATACGTCTCCCCCAAATCAATTGTGAGGTTCCTTCGCCCCAATCCGTCTCGTCCGATGGCTCCTTGAAGTGACGGAAGTTTCCAGAAGTCCAGCAGGAGCTCGGAGAAGGAAGTTGCGAGGTTCAAGGCCTGGCCGTCCAAACGCGAGTCCATGGTCCTTCCCATGGGCAGTGGATGGCCGAAATCCATTTCGCAGCACTTTGAAACCATGGTCGAAACCAGAACGTTTGTTGGTCTTTGGGAAGTAATCATTCGAAGGTTTCTTGGGTGGTGCGAAATGGATTTCGCCCACTCCAAGTATCAGTCACTAGTCACTGTGCTTTGCTGTGCGAAGTGCATCACAAGGGACGATTCAACCCCACTGCATTCCGGCACACCCAAGGGTATTCAAAAGGGGAACGAACCACTTGACTCGTATTCTGCACTTCCAGCCTCCCGCACAGCAGCTGCTGTCTGTCCTGCGCGGACAAATCAGTGGGAAATTGTGTTATCTACTTTCACACAACTGTAAATTTAGTCCCTGGCAAAAAGGTGAGCACAGCCAATTCTCCACCCTTCTAATTTGATATTTGCTAGATTTTGTTTACTTTAATTCAAGTGATATGAATCAAATATCATCAAAGCACAAAATTAGCATTCACCACTCTGCAACCTGAAGTGAATGACCTGAAGAACCCCATCATGGACGGGTTCTTGCTGTCCTCTTCGGGAGCTTTCCGTGCTTTTCTCTGTTGCGAATAAACACTGAGAGGGAGACAACGCTGTTCTCAACATATGGGTACCTCCCGAGAAAAAACAATGTTCGTTAGTTTCCCTTGGTTTCCGCGTAAACCAACAAACGCCAACCTAAAGTGGTTCGCAGGGTTCCACCAAAAGGCACACCGAGAAAAACCGCGACAAACTCTGTGCGGCACGTTCTCCTGAGTACTCAAAACCCGGTACACATGGTTGGGTCTGTCCCGCAACCTTCACTTACACGCCTGTCCACTAAGACCCCCAGAGGGTGCCTTTAAGAGCAATATTGCCTTCCATCCCGAAACGTCAGGTTCCATGGCAACGTTGCTCTCCTGTGCCAAGCAGCTCGACCATGTTAGAGATCTCCACGGCTGCGACCTGCAAGTTGCGAGGTGAACGGAACGCCCAACACAAGTTTCAATACCTTTGAGGTGTGTTCCAACTTTACACACTTCCTGCGTTGACCACAAAAAAATGTGTTCCCACATGACTAGAGTCCAAAACATGGGAAGTTAGAATGTGGTTGTGGGGCACTGCAAAACTAAGACGAGTCATGATAGCGCACAACGTTTGTCTAGCTCCTCATAGGTATTCGCACCTTGGCGATAAGCAGAACCCCAATTGCGCCAGCTATAACCTTGTTAAGATCACCATACCTTACGTGGGCTTGTGACCCCAGACTAATCTTGAAGCTCGCCTAGACCATGAAGGCGTTGGTGTAGACTCTCATGCCCTTTTAGGGGCGTGCACCAACGGGCTCGAAGACTCTTGGACCACACCAGCGATTTGTTGGGGGGTTGTTTTGACGCATAGGTCCAACATGGTACAGCAAGTCCAGGTCTCCAGTAGAGAGGTTAGAACAAGGGTACCAACTTTTGTCAGTAGTCTAGTTTAGTAGGGGAACCCTCCCAACCAAAAAAGAAGCGGTAAAAGGGCACCTAGCTGGGGGACCTAGAAGTGGCCGCTTTTCTTCACAGCTAGCGCGCCTCTCTGGCGCTAACTGCCACCAGGTCTGGCAACAGCTGCTGCACGCAGATTTGCCGGTCCCCAGCATCCCCGAGCCTCAGCCGTGAACCGATTGGACTTGGCCGGTCGCGGGGAATTCCCAGAAGAAAGGCCCCTGTTTAGGGTACATGACTTCAAAGGGCTCCCCCCACAAAGAATTCGGAAATCGGCACCTTTGCTTCGGGGTACTTGATTTGATAGGTCTGAGTGGTGAGTTTCTCAGACCGGACTGGCACAACCTCGAACATCGGCCCCTGGTAAACCAAGGGACACCTTGGTTACCAAATGGAAACATCGCAAACCAAGGGAAACCAAATTCATATTGAACCTTCGATTTTTGTTCATGTTAACGGCTCGGAGCAACCATACTACGCGGGCTTACGTTTCAACAAGCATCACAAGACCAATCTATGAATTGCTGGCCGCCAGAGCAATAACACTCAGGACGATAGGGATGCAGCCAACGGCAAACAGTGCTGTTACCGTCCAAACCACCACCACAAGTGGCTCCAGGACTTTCGCGGACAGACTGACCAGGCCCCTCAAAGGTTTCACGCACTCTGTGGATCATGTGGGGGCGATCCCCGCCGTAGTTTTCATCCTGGTTATAGAAAACATGCAGGTGTTCAATCTTCAACCTTGGAAATTGTCCGCGCTCATTTTTCTTTCAATGGGTGCTCCTGGCGGGCAGTTTTCCGCGCACTTCCCCAAAAGCGATCGGCTTGCCCTATGGCTGGAACGGGACATCATGTTCATCAACCAGGCATCTGAGTTGACTATCCTCTCCACTCTGGCAGCTAAGGGTCTCCAGAACATGTGAAATCTTCCAGGTACCCTCTCACAAACGCCTCTTTAAGGGTCTCCAGAAAATGTGAAATCTTCCAGGTACCCTCCAAAACTAAATGCCTTCGAGAAAGTGGGAGCCTAGGAAGGGCCGCGTTTTTTTTGCCAGTCTCTCTCACTGTTCCGCCCGGTTCGGCGGCTTCCGCAGGGCCAGCGACGCTTGCATCTCTCGTCTTTTCTGTCTGTCTTTTCGCGGTGCTCTGATTTGTTTTCCCAAAAACGGAAGGAACAAAAAACGAAGACTCGGTCATAGACTTGAGTACAGTGCTGCATAACATTCACATGAATCCCTCCAAAATCCACTGCCATGAAAGGTCACGGCCGGATTTTCTTGCCTGCAACAAAGGACCCCAAAACAAGGTTCTTGATATTCCCTTTCAAGCATCACCAGGAAAGCTCATCTTAAAAAGCTCAAAAGGAGAATTAAAGACTCTCACGAGGGAGCCTCAAAATCTGCGGTTCCTTAACAAATCAGAAGTAGCTTCCCCAGCGCTCCGAACCCCTCTGCAGCTTAGGTCGATTGGCTACCAACGAGAACCGGAACGGGGAATCAAGCTTTAGAGCACGATATGTTGCTTTTCCTGAAGTGGCTCATGCTACGAGGAACTAAAATTAAACCAGTTATATCCCCAAACATCCCCAATTTAAGCCGCCATACACGTTTGATACAGCCAATCTGACAAAGGTGACACAGGGGATGGAACAACACTTTGCACCAGCTGGTAGGTGGTTTCTCAGCAAAAATACAAAGTGAATTCTGTCTCACAGTATCATGGCAAATTTATGGAATTCCGTTGCACATAGGGGGGGGGGCGGTCTTTTTTGAGGAAACCCCTCTGGCTGTGTTGAAGGAACACCAGCAGGAAAGGACCCTGTGTAGGCCCGATTTTCTCTTTCCAAGGAATTATTTTCCACTTTTATTCCTGTTCCACAGAAGAACGGGTGCATTGAGTTCCATGTTTCTCTCTGCGAACGTCGAGTCTTCGCCAACTTGAGAGTCCGAAATGCATGGCTTGGCGGGCAATGCTCCAGGCATCGGAGCCTCAGCAACACGGAAGGGCAAAGAGCTGCCACGGCAAAACGTGCGGGGTGTCTTGTTGGGAAAACCGGTTTCACCTTGGAAAGGGACACCAAAAGTTGAAAACACCATGGATTTCGAGGTTCCGCTATTTGACATGTTCCTGTATAGGGCATGTCCTTTTGCGTGAATTCATGGTGGAATCACGTTTAAAGATACCACAGTTGCATTCCATGACGTAGTCTTTGTTTTTTTAATCATCTTCAAGGGGATTCCTTTGCTATCTTAGAAGACGGCCCGAAAACCAAAACTTGCCTTTTCCATCTGATTCATCTTAAAGCCTGCGCATGCAAACACCGCCGCCCGAACAACCAACGCTGATCTGAGTTGACTGGCCAGGAAGCGCTCGATTTTTTGGAGGCTTCACTAAAATGACTCAAAGACACCGACCAAGAAGTTGGCCAACCAAACAGGTAAGAACATGCGACTAGGCAAGTAGCGAGTTGTCATGATCACCTGCTTGACATTGTTCGACGTTTTCCAACCCCAAAACCAGACCTGGACGCTTGCCCTTCATTTGTTAATTGCTGGATTTGCCCCATAAGACCGTTGGGGGTTGAACATAGTGTCGATCGGATCTTTGATCCAAAAGCTTGGCCATCTGTACGCAGAAAGGAGGATTTTCATACGAGCGTCGCTTTGGTTGGACCCCAAAATTGGTGGTCTTCCTTTGGTTTCCGTCTAAAAACCCACCAAAAGGGGGCACCCTGAAAAACACACACGCCCATATCCTGCTTCAAATTTCGTCCGCCCTTTGGTGACCCATCTCCTCCAAGCAGCAGTAGGCCTCTCGTGGGAACTGCCTCAACACCGCCGCCGTGCCCCGCGCGTAGGCGCGCAACGCCTCCGTGCCATCCAAAGAGGTGCCCTCCGAAGCGGTCTGGAATTGCCGGGACTCCTTGGCGTCAATACAGAATTCGCGGACAGGTTATGTTGACCCCATATTAATCAACCCGGCTTGTTAAGTTCATCAATAGGGGGTGTCCCTGGTTTTAGTGGGGAATCATCACTTTTGGAGGGGAAACCCCCCTAGTTAATCCGCCGACCCCTTTGCAAAAGCCAAGTTAGTCTCTGCAAAGGGGCGAGGCGTGTTCTAAGTGGTGGTTAGGGGAGTCTGAGGGGGGGAGGGGGGCCCCGCGGCGGATTTTTGACACGCCTAACCTCTAACTCTAACCTCTAACCTTAACCTCTAACCCTAACCTCTAACCCTAACCTCTAACCCTAACCTCTAACCCTGACCCTAACCTCTAACCCTAACCTCTAACCCTAACCTCTAACCCTAACCTCTAACCCTAACCTCTAACCCTAACCTCTAACCCTAACCTCTAACCCTAACCTCTAACCCTAACCTCTAACCCTAACCTCTAACCCTAACCTCTAACCCTAACCTCTAACCCTAACCTCTAACCCTGATGATGACGAGTCGATAATGATGATGATAATGATGATGATGATGATGATGATGATGATGATGATGATGATGATGATGATGATGATGATGATGATGATGATGATGATGATGATGATGATGATGATGATGATGATGATGATGATGATGATGATGATGATGATGATGGATGATGATGATGATGCTGATGATGATGGTGATAATAATGATGGTGGTGGTGGTGATGATAATGATCATGAATGATGATGATGATGACGATGATGATGATGATGATGATGATGATGATTATGATGATGATGATGATGATGGTGCTGATAATGATGATGATGATGATGATGATGCTGATGATGATGCCGATGATGATGATGATGATGATGCATGATGATGATGATGATGATGATGATTATGATGATGCTGAGGATGCCGAGGATGATGAGGATGTGGT